CGTTAACACGTCATTAACGATAACTATTCATTAACGTTAACACGTCAGTAACGATAACTAGTCATTAACGATAACACGTCATTAACGTTAACACGTCATTAACGATAACTATTCATTAACGATTTATTGTCTGACAACAACCCTTCATTTATACACAAAGCATTACAAATTGTTTATTTATTAATGTGATATCGACATTTAGATTAAACAATATAATCGTGTTAAACGATAGCGCACGTAACTTTAATTTAACTAACGCAGGAAAAACACACCGGTTCGATAAACGCACCACTGTATATGTATCTAGCCATAAAAATTATAACAAAAAATTGACATTCTCATTCTATTTTGATATATTTATATTTTGCTATATCTGCATGGGTTACAACTACATACTTACATCTACTTGTTTTAACTTCCATCAACTTTATACATGTATATAATATATTACATGGTTTTACTTCTAAACTTTACACATGTACATGTATCTACATGCTGTGTAACTAGCCCTCCATATTCATATATTTTTCTATTATCTACGTGAGTTTTTACTACTTTTTACTATACTTTATGCATGTATATATATTTAACTACTTATATGTAACTAACTCTCCATCTCCTCCCCTCCTTCGCAGAGCGACAGGACCAGCAGCAGTACTTCGGCGAGGGCGGCCCAGTCCCGGGCGGCCCAGGCGGCCCATTCCCGGGCGTGGCCGGCCCCGGGGGGCAGCCCCGCTTCCCACTCGGCGGCCCGGGACCCCCGCCGTTCCAGCAGGACATGCCGCCCCGCTTCCCGCACGAGATGGCCGGAAGATTCCCGATGGGAGGTCACTTCCCGCAGGACATGCCCCGGTTTCCAGGTGAGGGCGTGAGCGCGGGTTTCCCCGTGTAGGTACGCCGCACTGACGATGCCTCTACACGACACAGGCTCCCGTCGCACGCGTAACCGTGGCGACGGCGGCGCTCGGGAAGGGAACCGCGCCGGCGCCTCCTGGTGTCGCGTCGGTGTTGCTGCTCAGTGCTGAGGATGCGGACGTTGTTGCTAGGCGACGGCGTAGCTGGAGGCTGCTGGGATGAGGCAGTGTATTGGGGATGCTGTTGCTAGGCGCTGGTGAAGCCATAATGTGATGCTGCAGCTGCATTTCACCGACGTTTATTGCGTGCACATGTTTTTCACGACGTCTCTGCAGCCTCAGACTCATCTTGCTTACTGTTTGTTTCTCTACTAATCTCGTACATTGTCTAGCTAACGTCGTGCTTTCTTATTATTGTCTTTGTTTTGTCTACAATGTTGCTAGTCACAGTCACCAGGTGGCGTTGTGTGTCGTGGTCGGAGCTGTCACAGATCACCACGGTTACGATGTAGAGATGTTACTTGTGTTCCTTGTTGATCAGGATCAAGGGTCATGAAGACCAGGAACTGTAATCGTGTTCCCGGGGTGTCAGGAACTGTGGTTGTTCAACGTTCCCTGGATATAAAGAATTGTTCGTTCATTGTTCACTGGTTATCAGTAGTCAGGTTATCAGTAGTCAGGTTATCAGTAGGTTGTTCACATTCCTTACTAATTATTACCATCAATCTTTATCATCACACTTTCCAATTTTTCAAAAAAAATGAACCACGGTTGTTCGTGTTCGATGGTTCGTCGCGATCAGGTACCGTGAGGTGTTCCCATTCTACTCGTTCGTGATTGGGTGGGGGTAAAGAATAATAGCTTAGCAACAGGCTAAATCTAAATCTGTGCCTCAGCGTATCTGTTCCCCAGTTACTCACAGCTTATATATATAGGCTTCTGCCCCCACAACTCCTCATTTGCACACAAGCAGTGGACATGACGAGGCAGGCATGAGAATTTCCCGCGGATTCGCGGATTTCCGGGTTTTGGTTTTCATTTTGGTCATTCTTGAGATCGATGCAAAAAAACTAATAAAAATTCGAGGTGGGTAGGGTGTACTTTTCGTGTCAAAATGAATGCCATTTTTAATGTAAACTTCATAAAAAGCCAGGAAAAGTACGTCAAATTCAAAAAGTAGTAATGGAACTGCAGATAAATATCGTGGTGTTTCTATGTAATGTAAAGGGTTTTGCCCTAATTCTCATGGGTACGGAAACTCGGTGACAATGATTCATAGAAAATGAAAAGACTGAATTGTTAGTCATGAAATCGGTCTTTTACTAAGAACAGAATGGACTTACAATTTCCCCCCGGGATGCATGGAAATGCTCTATCTGCACTTCTAAATATTCTGTATAGCTAAGGAACTGAGAGGACTGGCTGGAAGTCTATTAAGTAGATGATTAGGTGTGCAAGCAGGCAGGAAGGTTGGCTGGCCTGGCAAGCAGGCAGGAAGGTTGGCTGGCCTGGCAAGCAGGCAGGAAGGTTGGCTGGCCTGGCAAGCTGGCAGGAAGGTTGGCTGGCCTGGCAAGCTGGCAGGAAGGTTGGCTGGCCTGGCAAGCTGGCAGGAAGGTTGGCTGGCCTGGCAAGCAGGCAGGAAGGTTGGCTGGCCTGGCAAGCAGGCTGGAAGGTTGGCTGGCCTGGCAAGCAGGCAGGAAGGTTGGCTGGCCTGGCAAGCAGGCTGGAAGGTTGGCTGGCCTGGCAAGCAGGCAGGAAGGTTGGCTGGCCTGGCAAGCAGGCTGGAAGGTTGGCTGGCCTGGCAAGCTGGCAGGAAGGTTGGCTGGCCTGGCAAGCTGGCAGGAAGGTTGGCTGGCCTGGCAAGCCGGCAGGGAA